TGATAGCAGTGGGGTTGGGCCACACTGCACCCGGCTGCACCAGGGCTCAAAACCCCCAAAATCCCACTGGGTCCTCATAATAGCCAAAAAATAACCCCCAAAATCCCACCAGATCCCCATAATAACCAATAATAGCCCCCAAAATCCCACTGGATCCTCATAATAACCACAAATAACTCCCAAAATCTGCCTGAGTCCCCATAATAACCACAAATAACTCCCAAAAGCCCACCGGATCCTGATAATAGCCAAAAAATAACCCCCAAAATCTGCCTGAGTCCCCATAATAACCACAAATAACTCCCAAAATCCCACCGGATCCTGATAATAGCCAAAAAAGAACTCTCAAAATCCCACCAGATCCCCATAATAACCAAAAATAACCCCCAAAATCCCACTGGATCCTCATAATAACCACAAGTAACCCCCAAAATCCCACTGGAACCTGATAACAGCCAAAAAATAACCCCCAAAATCCCCCTCAGTCCCCATAATAACCACAAATAACTCCCAAAATCCCACTGGGTCCTCATAATATCCAAAAATACCCCTCAAAGGATTAATTTTCTTGGTAAAGGATCTTCCAAACCCGTTGTCCCCTTTCACTGCGGGAAACCCAAACCGGTTTGGGTGGGAAGGGACCCTCAAGCTCATCCCAGCAGACGTTTAAAAATTCATCCTCAGCAAGGGAACTGTCAGAAAACCCAGCTTTACACCCAAACTGGAACCCGCGGCTCCTTCTCCAGAGGATGAAACATTTTCTCTCTGCACATCAAACAGCTCTTTTTGATCAGAATTAGCCATATCTGCTGCTGCTTAACGCTGCGTCCAAGGATCTTCCCGAGGTGAAGCCTTGGTCGTTCCCCAAGTTTCCCATTTCTGATGCAAAAAGCGCATCCACCTGGCTGTCCTGGGGCCTGAGTTTCCCATGGCCCCACAGCCATCCTGGTAACGCCAAAAATCCAACTGTCCTCATCCCCCCCTTCTGTTCCCACACACAGAGAAGTTCCAGGGTTTAAAACTCCACCGAAAAGAGCTGAAGCAGGGGAGAAATGCTGGGAAACTGCGGAAAGCCAACGGCAAAACCTGCCTGGTTTTACTGAGAAACCTTGGCCCGTGGGGATAAAGCGGGATGGAAATCCCTCTGCCCGTGTCCGGGTCCGCGCTGGGACCAACCTGGGCTGCTCCCTGTGCTGAGGCCACATAATTATCATTGCTGTTGTTATTAATATCGTTGTTGTTGTTGTTGTTATCATAATCATTACGCTATCTTTACAGAATAACATTTAATATATATT